TGAACTTTAAGAAAATGTTGAGAAACATTTGTCACGCATACGACATTTAAGACACGATACTCCAATAAATTACTGTACATAATATTGTCTCGTGCTTAGGTTTATTGTGACATTTTGTTCATCTACCAAAACGGTTCACTAGCTGAAATATACGATAACGAGCAAGTCTTTTCATCACTATTAATCGTTAAATACTCGTACTATATACATAAATATAAATCGTATTAATATAATATTATAAGCTAGTGCACTCGTAATCATGTAATTATAATACTTTTATAGTGAATATTGTCATAATATGTTGATGTTAGATTGATAATTACCTAATTAAATTTTTGTAAAAAATAATGTGTTAATGTCATTAAACCTTTTAGTGATTTTACCTAAAATATTAATTTTTAATAATATTATTAAGTGAGATTTTTTCAACACATATTGAGAGTTCATTTTTAAACAAAATGTCAGAAGGTAATGACAATCCACAAGATCCAAGACCCGAGTTTTTTGGAAACTATATTATAAAGGCTCTAAAAGTTAAGTCTGAAAAATGGTTCAGATTAATGGTGACGGAAGAACAAGGCACAAAGGTCTACAACTTCTTGGATAACCCGGAATGCACCGTTTTAATTATATTTCAGGTAGGTAGTAGGTACTGCACTTAAATATTATACGTTTACATTTTACATAATTAAAATGTCATAATGTGCAAGAATTGTTTTAAATTTAAATTTAAATAAAAGACTTTTTTTGTAACATAATAAAGTTYTACATTATTTATAAAATGAACAATTTCATCGAACAAAGATCTTGAACTCGGTTCAGTATAGGTATCAAATAAACATTACCTGACTAAATTGTCATTTTACATTTACACATTAACCATAATGCATGATTAAAAATAAAAATAAATATCCTTAGAACATTATACCTACCTATATGTTTGAAAGAAAACATTGTTAAATTTATTTGAAAATTATTTCACGTCTTAAAAATATTTAGTAAATAATCAGTRATATGTATTACAAAAAATAACCAAAATCGATTTCTTTTACACTTTTAAAAATATATAAAATTAACGGTAAATTTAATTCYTATTTTACAAATGTTAGTATTTTTCTTTACAATTAAATTAGAATAAGTAATAAATATAATATAAAACAATATTAAAATAATATCCAGTGAAATTCTATATAGGTCCATTTATTGATAAATAGGTACATTGTATTATGAAAAAGTCATAAAAATATTTATCAGATCTAACTGTTTCCAATATTTTAAATGATAACAGGATAAAGGATTAATAAATTAGCACATCACGTTAGTTCTAATTTTACTATTATAAAGAAAACTGTATAAATAAAATAATCAATTTTATGTAACATCAATGTTATACACATTTTACTTATAATTTAATCATGTTTCATAATATTCATATATATATATATATATACTTCATCAGCCTCCCAAAATTAAAATTAAAAAATTGTTTTTGCTTATTATTAGTGCTCGATAAGTTTGTATTTGAGGGACTATTTTCGGGAGATGGTATTTTGCGCCACTTTTATTACTTGTAATTTGCGCCACGAATARGWAYATTTAAGTACGTATGTAATTTGCGCCAAAATATAAAAATATAACATGTATTTTGCGCYACTAAAGAAAACAAAATGGAATATGTAATTTGCGCCACACTTTCAACTTTAATAGCAGTTGGAATTTACCAGCAGATAAATTTTGTGATATCGCATAGGATATACAATAATACGTACCGATGCGTCCGACGCGTGTCACATAATATCGTCTCAATATTGTCGAATTATTTTTAATTATTACTGATTTTTATATGTTTTATTAATTAACGACAATTTAGATTTAGATTTACATATTTGATAAACATGGAGTTATTTATATTATTATAATATAACTGGCGCAAATYATAATTTTAATAAGGTGAACAATGGTGCAAATTACAATTTTAGTAGGTACTCTAGGGAACAGATTACATAATTCCTTTTTATTTAATTTTATTAGGCGCAAATTACAAATTTAAAAAGTGGCGCAAGTTACCAAAATACATTTTTAGATGTGGYGCAAATTACATACGCCYTTATTTTCAGAATTTGTGCGATACTGGTTTAACCATAAATTCAAAAATATATACGGGGGGCTGGAGAAATGTTTGCTGCCCACTCCTCCTATTAGAAAAGAATATAATTTTATAATTATTTATATTTGATTATTTTTTTTATTTACCTAGCTACCTATGTCATATTAAAACAATTTGTAAACAAAATTAAAAAACAMGGAATAATATAAAAGTATAAAAACAATTGACATTATTTCCCTCATTAATGTATAAAATTAAGTATTATCTATTCTGTATTTTAGTACATCAATTCAATGCGAATATAAAAATATTAAATGGCAATTTTCGAAACATTTTTACAACAGAAAATAATGACTGATCTCATATTAAATAAACAGATATTCTAATTTAAAATTGCAAATTATTTAATAACTTAAATGTAAAAATCATACATTTTGTCAAATAATTCTTTATTCCAAAATAGTTGACATTGATAATTCTTTTCTTTTTTTTGTTTATTATTATTAGATTAAACTATCAAAGATAAATTTTTACGCTCCAATATAACAATTAATACTATATAATACAATATTATGAATAAATACAGTCGGTATATAGGAACCCAATATATCCATCTTAGATTTGCATTTACTTTCTTTAGCTTGTGATGGAAGAGTAGAGAAATTTTATATTAGTCATAATAGAATTTATTATGGCTTGCTTATATTTTATAACAATTATAATACATCTTCTATAAAATATTTAATTTAATGTTAACTAAAAATGTTATGATTTTTAGATTATAAGATACAAATAAATAGATCCGTGATGGATAAATTATAAATTTACAAAAAAATATGTACTTTTGCTTGCTTAAAAATCTAAATAATTTATGTTTGAACTACATATAGTGCTAACTGCTAAGTATGATACTTATCAGTAATAATATCAAAAATAATTATATAATTTAGAATATGGCGGCACAATTATTTGCCATGGACAGTTTTCCRGTTCCTCTAAAAACTAAAGCAATTTATTTTGTGAAAATTGCCAAAGTTGTTGTACCTAAAGATAATCCAAGTTCAGTTCTTATAATTGGTGATATGGCGAGCAAGCCTATTGAACAATTGGCGACTATTGTAGATGACGTAAGTATAAAGTTATACTTATATTTATTCTTATATTACGTGTTTTAGTAGTGTGTAGTAGGTGTGGAATGTGACATGATGTATACGAACAGTATATTATAATATTATGATTATTATGTACGATAACGTTAAACATTATTAAATATTTAAATATAAAAATAAAATATGATCGTTATTCATAGATGGCAATTTTTTCCGGTCATCTAAATCAGTGCTTCTCAACCTGGGGACTTTGGCTCTATGATTGGAGGGCCTTGAAATATTTATTTCATTTAAAATATTTTAGGTTATTTAATTATATTATAACCAACCATATATGATTAATCATTGTCGATAAAGTCTAATGTTAGATTACTGTTATTATTGTTATTAATAATAATAAAATTGTTTGTGGGAGGAGACAAAAAAGGATGAGAAGCACTGATCTAGACCATACTCCCAAAAAAGTGTATTTCCATTTATCTCTATCTTCTATCGATATGATCTCATGGTACATCTGGTTGGATTCTTTCCGCTTCCACTTTCATGTAGTAYTTGAAACGTAGATGTAGCCTACCCAGGGGTCTCTCCTGATTTTTTTCAGCAGTTGTTCTGACTTCTGACTACAGACCATATATTCTCCGTTATGCATGTTCTGCCCATGTCAACTTCATTTTTTAATTTCAATTGCTATATTTGGTCTTTGGAACAGTTGTTTGTATATTTTAAAATATAATAAAATAAATTGTTTTCTGCTACTGAAAAAAAATTGCACCATTGTTAAAAATTAGTTCTTGTTCTGCACGCCGCCCTATAGAGCAATGGTTGTCAAACTGTAGGCYACGGAGCCAAATCTATTTAATAACCAATTATATTTCAAAATTATTAGGTAGTATATTTTGGTTTTTGGTAAATATAACTAATTTATAAATAATTTATAATATATTGTAAAAAATGTTTTGTTTAGTGTTGTAATGAAACAACACATGTTTGTAATCTCAAACATGACCTATATATTATATCTATTTAAAAAAGCCGATGTTAAAATAGGCATCTAAAATGCTATTTACCTACAAAACTGAAATTAGGAATACCTACAAATTACAATTATAGTTTCACTATACATATTATAATAATTTGTATTATAATTAATAATGTTATTAAATCATTGTTTATTTTATTTTCATTATTGATTCAAATTCAATAATATTTGATCTATCAACGTAGCCCRTAGGTCACACTATATGTCTAACCTGTGGACAAACCAAAATAGTACCTATTATAATATAATATGTTTAAGTTTCATTCATAGCAATAAAATATAATATAAATTAGATTAAAGATTTCAGAATTCATTTTCATTAGGTACAATAATTATTGGAGTGTAATATAAAAATTAAGAACTAGCAATTAAAATAACATTGTAATGTTATTCAAACTTATTATTGAATAATAATATTGTAATTTGTAATGTACCTAGATTATATAATATGTATTATCTAATTATATATTTTGTTTTCAAAATAAGTAATGTAACTACAATATTGTGATGTTATTCGACTCAATCGATATAGATTGTATAGATAAGTATATCATTTATCTAAGGTCTGCCTATAGTATAGTCAGTAGTCACGTACACACACACACGCTACGTGTCATATAATGTAATATAATATAATATAATCACACATAATATATCATTAAATATCATTATACAAGACGTTCGTTAGTTTGACTATTTCCCGTCTGCTCTGTTGATCGTTCATTATATTATTATAATTGTTTTGTTTTCTCTGTTTGTGCCATAAGCGATTCCTATATATACATACGTAGTACGACCTCAGAGTATTTTATTTTATATCTACAACGTCGCAAAAGTGAAAAAAAATAACGCCGGAGAGCTTAGCCTATGATGTGGTTCGAACAAAACAATACAATATTATTATATTATGTCTACGCTGATAACAAAGTGCCCACGGTTATGACCTTCTGTATACATGTAGGTTTTGGCTATGTACCACTGCAATAGGTACCTACCTATTCATTTATTCCATCCATCAAATGCGCCTTATAGCGTTTGTGTGTTTGCCAAACACTGATTAGCAAAAAATATAACTTCTTATATTGTTATATTATATTATTATTATTACTGATTATTTGAATATTGATTATATTGATCGATTATTTTCAGTTTAATATTGTTTTATCATCATAATATATCATATTATAATATATTAAATATAGTATATATAAATCATAGAGTAATATTACTCTATGATATAAATTGGTAATATAATATATTATGTACATTGTACATGGATATACAATATAATATATATACAAAACAATATATAACATTACCGTAAAACTAGGTTATTTGTTTCAATTCATTTTATTATATTATAGCTATAGGCTAGATATRGTGAACCTATGATGCGCGCACACTCTTTTAATAAGACACTCATCAACTTGTTTTTTTTATCATTCAAGCTATAGATGTGGAATGTTTTAAGTTTTAAAAAATAATCATCAAATAATTGAAATGTAGATAAAATAAAATCTAATCGACATTTTTGGAAAAAATTATTTATGTAACATAAATTATTATTGAATATTATATAGTACTATAGTACAGCTGATTTAATTAAACATTGAAAAGAATAACATCAGTCGAGGAGGTGGTGATTAAATTTAAAAAAAAAAGTAATTAATTAATAAAGACACGAATAGTAAGAAAAAATATTTTTCTTTTCATGCTTTAGATGAGTACCTACCATACGTTATTAGACTTATTAATATACCTATAATAAGTTCTTAGGCTCAATTTTAATCGCATTACGTTCCCGTCCCAATTCAGTCAGGTAAAAACCCTAGTTCAGGTAACGTAGTTTATGGTTGTGGTAACTACCTATTTAATTGATAATTATCTATTTAATTGGTCACAAAACTGTTTATTTTCCCATGTGGTTTTATATTTGTATAAGAATTTAAATAACTATTAGAGCGACTGAAATTATTATTATATAACGTTAACTTAACAACATTTTATAAGCTTATACTCAAAGGTTTTTAAATAAATATATTTAGATCATATTTTCCACTTTCAAAAATTATACGAACTTGAACTTGAATCATAATTTTTATATTTTTCTTCAGTAGGCAAAAATTTAAATTCTTAACTATGAATAAAAATAAAAATGTCYTAATTCAAGTATGATCATTTATCTAACTATCTAGTGAGTACAATTTCGACTATTAGGATCCAAATACTTGGAATAAATCGTCAATACAAAAAAATACTGTTAAACATATGCTTATTATTTCGCTATAATACATTATTGCAATAGGTTATATTCTTAAATAATATAATTGTTATCCTTTTTAAAATGCATTAATTTACAGATTTTTGTTCCATTGCTTGCAAATCCAGAAAACCATAAAAATTGGGCAACTGTCGTTTCGTTAGACGTTAAAGAACATGTTCATAGTCTGAAGAGTACTGTGTATCAAGTTAAAGGACAAATAAATGGACAAACTATTTTGCCAATGCCGGTTGGTGTGGAACGTTTGGATAGTATAGAAAAAATAGTTAAAGAAAGGTAAGGCGTAAATCTTATAATTTAATTATAATTTAACAGTTATTTTGTAGAAATAAATATTATCGAACGTATAACATAGTTATGGTATTATTAATGTAATGAATAAAAAGTTATATTAAATACACATTATACTTAATGAGCCATGATGTCCCAAGTGTTAATTCTGTATCTTAGTGCCTCACTCTATATTATAGATAATTTAAGGCACGGACATAAAATATTCTGGATTAACAAATGTACTCACATATTTTATTGGCGTTAAAATGTAGTTAAAATAATACTTGAAAAATAATTGTAGATCATGTATTTTAGAATGTAATTCTTGATTTCTATTGGTTTTCTTTTTAAGCTCAAAATTGTTTTGTAAATTGTATATTATAATACAGGTCTATACACACAAAAATAATGCTAATTATTAATTTTTGTGTTATCGAGTGCCGTACCCAGTTAATGTATTATGTATTTAATATGWAAATGTTTATTTCACAATTTTAAATCTAAGCTCACCCGTCAACATTATTACTATGATATAAATCTATTAYGCACTATTAAAAAAAAAATATCTCACCTAATAGCCCATACCCCTAGATATGGCACTGGTTTTATATATACCAGGCTATCTAACATAAACTTAAATGTTTATAAATACATTTATATAWGTAWATATAATTTAAGTTGTTATATTTTATAGCGATGGTAAAATAGTAGATTTACACTTTAAATCGGCTGTTGAAGGTGTTATTATTAAATGGGCAACTCAAATAACCGAAGTATTAAGCGCAGATTCTGTCTCTGCATTTAAGAGTAATCAACACTTAACTCCTTGGGATGGTAATATTAAAATTAGCAAWAAAATGTGTAGAGTAAAATTTAATTTTAAAAATATATAAATATTAATAGACGGTTTAATTACGTTTAATAAGTATTAACATTGTTTAAATATTGTTATAGAAGTGTCATTTTGGAATAATCGGGTGCAAAATTTAGAATATATTTTTGAACAATTGAGAGATCAACGGATAATGAAGATGACTACTATCGTCCAGCTCACTAACAGTGCTTATTATCCATGTTTAAAAAACATCTACGCTAATGTTGTTTCTGGTATCTAGTCTTTAATAAATTTGTAATTAGTTGAAACTACTCGATAGCCAATCTGATTGTTTTTTCTTCCGATTATCAGCATTGGAAGAGGCTAATGACATCATTCGCTATTTAAAGCCGTTACAAAAGCATTTTAAATTATTAGAAGAAACTGATTTTGGTGACATAGTTGTTTGTTTAAGTCCACTGATRCATGTCGTTTGCTTAGTGTGGTCCAATTCACGATTTTACTGTAGTTCCGGCAAGATTATTGTTCTTTTAAAGCAAATATGTAATTTGTTGATAGCACAGGTTAGCATAAACGTTTTAGTCAAATATAGTTTAATTAACCATAGTGATCTTTACCTTCAGGCAGTTCGATATTTGGACCCTACGTCAATATTTCAAAGTGATATTCACGAAACAAAATTGAGAGTTCGTCATTGCATATTTGTTTTCGAAAAGTTTAGGTAATATAATTAAAATTTTTTAAATTATATAATAAAATCAACAATTACCTATTAGTAGATAAGTATAATAGTTTGGATTTTGTAGCTTTACAGAACAAAACCTAAATAACTAATTTATGATGTGTTGGTTTTATTTTATTATTATTTGAGTTTAATAACATACCTAGTACTTGCTGTAGTATAGTTTATAAAAATTTTAAATTTGTATAAATGTATAATAATGTATATGTATACATCAAATTTATGACTTACGAGATAAAACTGATTGAGTACGCTGTACGTTAGCAAATATCGTATGACAATATAATAAAATATTGACCTTTAAAGTATTTTAAATGATTAAGAACAAATTTCGTAAAAAAGTATTAAAAAATAGCTGAAAATATATTTTTAAATGTAATTTATTAAATGCCATGTATTTTATTTCATGGTTACAAAAAAAAGGAAATCTCTACAAAATCCATTCTCTGGCAATAAGATTAATTATTGTCGCTAATATTTGTGTTATTTGATTTTGATRTGTAAATATATTATATGTTAAATTTATTTTATATTATGTTTAAGGAATATATTCAACGATTATCGTAAAAAATTACCGTCATATTTCGAAAGTGAAGAAACTGCACTTTTGTGGACTTTCCATCCAAATATTATTTTCAACCGTACCGACTTGTTTATTCGAAGATTACAGATAATTGAAGTATGTATATTAATGTTTATTCATTATAGGTACCTATCGGYAGCGAGTYGGTACATTTTAAATTATTATATGTTTATTTACAAACATACGTTTTATTCGATAGTGGTTTTTTGACACGGTTGTCGAATTTACAAAACTGGAAAGGATTGAATTTAGCGGACTTAAAGGTCGATTGCTCAGCGCTCGTATAACTGAAATATATTCAGATTTCAATGAGCAGTTTTCGTTGTTTTCCAGTAAAGCATACGATGTTCTTGAACCAGAAGACGAGCGTTTCGAAGTAGACTATGAACAGTTTAAAGAGAGTATCAAGGACTTAGACCATCGTTTAGCATTTACGCTTAGTCAGGCATTCGAAGATAGCTATAATTTAGACGGTGTTTTCAAGGTCAGTGTTTTTTATACCTAAAATATAATGCATGCAAAATATAGGTACAACAATATACGCAAATATTAAATTACATGGCTGTATAGTTTATTATTACAGTACTAAATAATAATATGCGTTAAATACCCCCCCCCCTCCCAGGATTTTATGCAACGAACTCAAAAATATTTAGAATTGATGTAGGTACCTATTTACAATAAATTGTTTATTTAGAATGTAAATATTCAACACTTTATAATAAATAATGGAATATAATGGATAGATAGGCAATTAAAATTATCTTTAAAATTAGGTTTGTATTATAATGTATATTGTATAAGTTATATTCTTTTGTCAAATATTTTGGTTGAAACAGTGGCCTTCTGGCTTGTTCCGTTGAAATGAATAACAACACATTAGTTTAATGCAGTGGCGTATTTAGGTTTTTGTCATGGGGAGGGATATGATTTTTTATGACAATTATTAACTTGAGGGGGGCTACACCCCCCACCTAAGTTTCTATGAATTATACAAGCTTATTAATATTAAATATATTTTTTACGTTTACCAAAATTATAATACATAACACATTACTTGAGATTAAATGTTWTATTAAACCAAAATCATGTTAATCATGTTATTACAATACAAGAWACAAAATATAAACTTCAAATGCTCATAAAAAATTAATTTGACTTTCCGGTWGAGATTTTTTTTTATAAAATTAGGCATACTTAGGAAGAAYCTTATATTAAATTTTCAAATCATAGATTCAAAAAGAAAATTTTTTATGAATTTCTAACTCAAAATAATTTGCTAATTTTCGTGTTTTTTCCGGATTTTGTCAAGATTTTAACTTTAAATGSTTATAATWAAAAACTGAGACTAAGGATTTTTAATATTTTTCAACCACTATTGTAACAATATATAAGAAGCATCGTATTAAATTTTCAAGCTGTTTCAGACAACAAAGAAAGTTTTATTGACATTCAAAAAAAAAAACCTAATAAAGTTGGAAACTAAGTATATCCGTAAACAGCTCAAAACAAGTCAAAATATTTGAAAATTGTATCAAATATAGAAAGTGTTAATATARACAACCAGTGAAAATTTCATGTATCTACGGATATTTTTTTTAGAATTACACCAAAAACCGAAATCGATTTTGACTAAAATCGGGTTTCCGTAAAAATTCCCGTTTTTTCCTTAATTTTTCATTTGTTTTTCACGGCGCATTTGAAAACTACTGGAAAATTACTTTTACTTTTGACCCCCCAAAGTACTATATAGATTCTCACTTTCTTATCAGAAAAGATACTGTTGAAGGAAATCTAAGCATTTTTACTATCCTAAAACGTGATAACAGACACAAAAAAAATTAAAATTAAAATTAAAAACACACATCATTGTAAAATCAATACATTCATCGCGCCGTTCAGAATCTAAAGTCAAAGTCAAAAATGTGTTAATTTGTGAAAATTAAACTGTATATAGATAACACTAACATAAACATTTGGTGAAAATTTCAAGTATKTACAGTGATTAGTTTTTGAATTACAATCATATAAAAAAATCGATTTGGTCGAAAACTGGTTTTGCGTAAAAATTCCCGTTTTTCTGTMATTTTTTTTTGTTTTTCTCGATTTTTTTGAAAACTGTTTACTTTTGATCTCTATAATGCACCAAGGATATTCACTTTTACATCGGAAACCACCCCCAAATTTTGAAATCAAAGCATTATTTCGACTAGTTATGCTGTACACGGACACAAAAAAAAAAACACACACATCATTGTAAAATCAATACATTCAACACTTCGTTCAGAATCTAATAAATAATCATAATATTTTAAATAATAATCGTCAAATTATAACGAGTAACGACTATAATTAATTGTGTGTATACAGTCTATGGGGAGGGATTAATCCCCTTGAACCCCTGCATATTTAAATGCGTCTATTGAATTTACTTACTAATACGAAAAATATAAGTACCTATATTATTTAATTGTAAATTATGATGTAAAATAATTATCCATGATAATATAATGTCGATTATGAACACATAAATTATGATTTTATAGTTAATTGAAATTGTTGGTGTCGTAATGGATCGGTCTGGTATGAAAGATATGTTTACAAATAGTTATAGTAAAATTTTGAACATGTTGTCTAACGAAGTTACAATTTGTAAAGTTTGTATAAACTTGCTTTAAAATTATAATATGTTGATTTTTATTGTAATTTCTATATTCATGATTTGTTAATAGAATCTATTTGAAAGCCAACAAATCGCTATAAGAACTCAAGGTTCAGCAGACGTTGATATGCTTATGCCTCCAATCGCTGGTTCATTAAAATGGTCAAAAACTCTTAAAGCTAGAATTGAACATCCAACTCAGTGTTTTAAAAATCTAGATCATCCGTAATAAACTATTTTAATTGTCTTTGATTAAAACTAATTATTTTAATTTATAGAATAGTCCAATCTAAAAGTGCTCAATCAGTTATAAAAGAAGTAGATGAATTGATTTCTTCATTAAATAAATTTGAAACAGAATTGATAGATAATTGGAAACTTACTGTATCAAAAAGATGTGAAGAATTATTAAAGTTGCCGTTATTTAATCGTAGATCCAAGTGTAATGAGTTGCAACTCAACTTTCATCCAGAGGTGCGATTCGAATATACATAGTGTATTTTTTATTATATAATGTTTCATTTGTATCTGATAATATAAATATTTTTAGTTGGTGGCGATATTAAGAGAAGTTCATTATTTTCGTTCATATGAGTTGAATGATATTCCTATTGAAGCATTGCAATTTCACGAATGCGAAGATACATTTAGAATATATTGCATTAATCTTAATAATACAAAAGAATGGTATGATAGTTATTTTTTAGTTTAGGTACTATTATAATATGTAAGTACCTGCTAATAATAAAGTGAATTGTAAATTAATTAGTTATAATAAATTGAGAAACAATAGCCGAGAAATTGAGTTTCAGTTGGTCCAGGAAGAAATTCAACAAATCGATGAATTAGTTAAAAAAGGCGAATATTCGTTAAATTGGAATTCMGAAGGTATATTCAAATATATAAATATTGACGTTTATAAAAAAAATATTATCAAACTAATATTAGTAAMCTAACTTATATTTAGCATATAATTATATATAATTTGAATCATGTAATGTTTAATTAAATTAATATTTGTAGGCCTTAACGAGTACATTGGAAGTGTTCAAGATCTTGTTTATAAATTATACCGAAGGGTACAAAAAACACAAGAAAATATTAAACGGATGCGATCGGCTATATCATCGTGGGCCAGACTGCCAGTATTATGTCGAAAGGATAATAAAAAGGATACTCTATTGGCAATGGACGATCGTGTGGAACGATTTTCCAAAAGGTGATGTGTATTATGATAGCTACAATAGTTAATTTACATACTTATACAAAAAATCGCCACAAAGAATTAGGTATACCTAAGTTAGGTACCTACCTAGGTTTACTAAACCTAATCTATTTAAATTTATGTATATGGATGTAATTTACGAATGTTTAACATTTTATACTCTTAAATTTTTTTGACATGCATTGATGCATCTATTAATAATATCAAGTTAACCTAATCTATTTGTGTGTTGAAGCATAATAGTATATGATACAAAATTAAGGTTATGAGACTAAATACCATTTGAATACCTATGGGCACAAAAACGGCAAAATATACACCAATATGGTAATAAATAAACATTCATGAAATTCATTTTTTATTTTTTATTTTGTTGTATCATAAAATGTACTAATAAATTAGATTATTTTTATTAAATACCTTTTCTGTCAGTATTTTTCTTCGTTCTTGATAACTGTTCAAATTTACAGTGTTCTAAACATGTATCTATAAAAGAAAAAAATTCTATGTAATTTGAATAAATTTAATATTTAATTTTTGCCGATCAGATAATAGTTTCTATCACAAATAATTAAATATTCATAAATGAAGAGATTAAATAATTGTCTTATCCGCTTAAAAGTATATGAAATGAGCAAAGTGTACATATTAATAACAAAATTTAACTTTTCATTTTAATTTATATTTATATTATGCAAACTACAATAATTTAGTGTATAAAATCGGTTTGATTTGAAACATTTCAAATATTTTTCATCGCGTGGATGTACAATTTCATAAAATATTACAGCCTCTATTAATATTATTTAACTATTTGTAAACAGCTATAGTTAATAATATATTTGGCAACTTGTCACTAATTACAATGTTCATGCCGAGTAGACGAAAAGAAATCGAAAAAGCTGCTACAGAAATCCATAAGCTCCTCAAAGAAAATTGCGTATTATTTGGYATGCAGGATCAAACAAATGTCAAGCAATGGCAAAATTATATGGCTTTTGTTGATTCTATTGTCGCAGATGCTTTGTTGAATGCTATAGGATGCAGGTGACCGTTTAAATATACAGTTTTAATGAAAGGATCAGACAAATGATATAACTGTTTTTCCAATAAATATTTTTTTCTCTAATTTATTGACTGTTGTGCTACTCGTATAATATAACATTTTTTTATTTTTAATATTGAAAACATAAAATCTATGTTATTTATTTAAGTAATGTCCTATTTTTTTTTTAAATCTCATTATCCTTGTTAAATAATGTTGTTTTTTCGTTTGGCGCTATGCTGATCCACTTGTAAAACTTAAAAAGTATAAATTTTTTTTTAGTATTTACGAAAATTTCTGAAGTAGTTACCTACTATTAAGTTATTAAATTATTACTATTTAAATGAATTAGTCTTACTAAAAAAATATGAACATCTAAATTATAAAAAAATTAAACTACATTATTTAGATAAATGTTTATACAAAATCAAATTATTAAATTGGCCATTTTGAGTTTTTTTATTTTCAGTATTATAAAATAAAAATAAAAATATTATATAACACGTGTAGTGCAAGCGTTAATTATATACTTGTATGTAAAATAAACAAAAATTTAAATTATACCAAAGTTACTACATTTGTCTAGACTTCCTATAAAATATACTGTACATAAAAAAAAAAAATCATTATCGATTGTTGGTGTTGAAATATTACATGTTTGTTCATCCGATATTTTCAGTTTATGTTATATAGCAGAGAATATGATTCCGGGTGTATCAAATGCACCATTATTTGAGGCTTGTCTCGAGTTACATGAACCGGATTTGGTTTTTATACCGTCGTTAGATTCAAACACCGAAGGTAATTTTTGTTCCATCATTCAAGGGATAATCGAAGAAATAATTGAACTTTCAAAGTTAATGCCACGGATTTGTGACAAAAATAACGCTAGTGATTACTTTGTAAGCAAGAAACATTTGATTTTGAGTTTTAATTTGATTATATTTAATATTATTTTATAAATGTTGATATTTRACGAAATAAATAAAAATAAATAAGATGTTTTATTAAAACATTTTAGGAAGAAATGAATTCCAATACTGACATTTGTGACATGAAAGRAGATATTATGAATACTGTAACTCGAGTGATAGCAGAGGTAATCAACATCTATCCTCTTAAATATTTTTTTGAAACTATGAATACGTTTGGTTTAAGGCAAACGATTATTGTGTAAATTTTGAAAATTATTCTTACTTATGGTTGGATGATCGAGAACTTTACATGCAACATTTTTTACGATATGGACATCCACTTTCAATCGAAGAATATGAAAATATGTCTCTTGATGATACTTATTCTCCGCCTATTGTGAATCCTACAATGGATCAATTTAAGGAACAAGTATTATTATATTATTATATATATACAATATTATTATRTTATTCTTTGACTACTTAAAAAAGTTATTTGGATTAGTATTAGTCTTTTAAATCATATATTAATATTATTATGTATCTATCACATGTTTAATGTTCGTTGTTAGATTGACAATTTTGAAAGTCTTTATTGTGAAATCGAACAGTTAAAGTCAGTTCAAGTATTCGATTCATGGTTTCAAGTAGATATGAGACCTTTTAAGCAAGCATTATTGAACACTGTATGTAAATGGAGTCATATGTTTAAACAACATTTGATGGATACTGTAACAAATAGGTAAATTGTGTTACAAAATAAATAAATTTACAAAATATATTGAATATTAAATATATATAATAATTATTAAATATATATTAAAAATATTTTTTGAATATTAAATATTAAATATTTATATTAAATACTAATCCTTAAAAATAATTATAATTTAGTAAATTTAAATAAAAATAAAAACTAGCTGTATTATCAAAATTTCAAAATCTACATCCAAAGTTTATTGTAGCCATTTAAACAAGTTATAGGTATATTAAAATATAATTCTGTTATTATTTTTTTTAGCCTTTTTGATTTAGCCAAGTTCATCCAAGACGCAGACGGAGGTTTAATGCAACCAGTAATTGAGGGTGATTATGAGGTTCTCGTTAGTGTTATGGGTTATTTATACAATGTAAAAGAAAGACAATCTACAACGGACGAAATGTTCCAACCCCTCACAGATACAATACAATTGTTGAAATATTATGACATGGAACTATCAGAAGAAGTTAACGTTCTATTACAGGTTTCAAATAAATAAATACTTTATAATTTATAAATAGTTAAGAAAAATGTATTAATTATAAAAGAAATAATTTAATTTAGGAGCTTCCTGAACTTTGGAATAATACTTGCAAATTGGCGATTAATATCAAACAACAAGTAGCTCCTTTGCAAGCAATTGAAGTCAATAATATACGAAACAGAATCTCTCATTTTGATAGTAGAATTAACTTTTTCAGAGAAATTTTCAAAAAAGCTAATATTTTCAGGTAAAAATTAGTAGATTAATTACCTATGCATTAAATTACKAGTAGTATAGATAGTAGGTATATTATAATATATTGATTATGTATAAAATATTATCGTGATTATCAAATTAATTACGATGATGGACGATTCAGTTTTAATTTAGTAAAAGTTTAGGTATGATTGTCCTTATCCGTATTTTGTACTAAATGAAGCAAACTCTAAGATAATGGATTTCGAAATGAATATGGCTCAGATACAAGAATCTGCGTCACTCTTTGAGGTGAACGTTCCAGAATTCAAGTTACTTAAACAATGTAGAAAAGAATTGAAATTGTTGAAGGTTCGTAAAGTGGTTTTAATATAATACTATATTTTGAATTTAACATTAGTACTTATTTTAACGATCGTGGTTTAAAAACAATTATTCCAGCAACTTTGGGATTATGTTCATTTAGTTCATTCGTGCATAAACGATTGGAAAACTACGCCTTGGCGTAAAGTGGATGTTGAAAACATGGACATAGAATGTAAAAAGTTTGCAAAAGAAATTAGAGGTTGGTTATAAATTATTATCTAATCTCTTAATATTTGTTCAGTATAATATATTAAAAATAGAGATACAAAACTATATTGAGACCTACAGGTGTGGCACGGTGGTTGGCCGCAGTCACTAACGTGTTCTGAGGTCAAGCATCAGCCAATGTTGCTAGTACCCGGATGGATGACCACCCRGGTCTTTAGTGATGAATTCAACCTCCACATACACGTGTTAAGAACCAACAATATCCGTACCCCTATACAGTAAAAACCGGCTAATAACCATGTACCTAGTTAATACCTTAAAAATCATTTTATCTTACCAGCAGTTATATTATCGGCGCAATTCGTAGTATAATTGAAATATTTATATACGTCATAGCCCATAGCTAATGYACATAACACTACACTACGTAGTGTATTATTAAACAAAACATTTATTTTATAAACAAATGTTTATATAAAATGATATCATGGGCTTGCAATGTTAAAGTCTACCATTTACTCGTGATATAATATAGCGTTGGATAAAGAGATGCGATCGTGGGACACCTATACGTGTTTAGAAGCTACAGTGAAGAATATGGTAACATCTCTGAGGGCTGTTGGTGAACTGCAAAACCCGGCGATTCGCGAACGTCATTGGAAACAACTCATGGGCTCTACAAAAGTAAGATAAAGTTAATTTTTGTTGTTTAAAATCCCTAATTGAACAAATCAATACGAAAACATGTTTACAGACTTTAGCTGGTTTACCTGAAGCGTATGATGTGAGTAAATAATCGAAACACAATGTGTTCGTGCGTTGCTTGTTGTACTTGTATTTGTCTTTTGTGTGTGTTGTATGCATTGTGAATCGTCCTATATTATTTGCGTATTGCCTTGGAATCACTCGAGGGCTATAAAAAAAATACATAAAATTATATGTAAAGACATTAAAATTGTACTATATATATTATAGATATATGTAGGTATAGCATATATCTATAATTAAATGATAGTAAAACAATTTCGATAAGTAAAATAATAGTTAATTTATTAAATAAATTGTATGTACTTATAAACTTACAGTTTGAATTATTTGACGTGAGACATTCGTGTTTTTTTATGATTTTAAAAATGTATATTAACCAATAACCTTTGTTGTTGAGGCTTAATTAAAATATTWAAAAAAAAAAATGTATATTCCATACAGTTATAATGTTATAATAACACGTTTTTACGAAAATATTAATTGTAAATGTAATTGTATGGAATGATGAATATACATCGTTTTAAAATGGAAATTACTCTTATCTTCTATTTTTAGGAAATTTAAATAAACAATAGAGGTTGGAATTACAAAATCTCACTAAGTCTCACGTTAAAAAACACACTGTTAGTATAAACATTTTATAAAGGATGTATTAATTTATTTGTACGTCTTCATATAATGTATTTAAGTTTATTTACACTATTTTGCGCTGAATGTGTTTTGTCCATATTTTAATTAATATAGGGAAAACGTAATTGTAGTTTATAACTTGAAAATTAAAATAAGTCAAACTAATTTATAAAAATATATTAAAACTAATTGATTTAAATTTTAGGTTAAGTTTGTTATGGATCAAGGTACTACCTTAGCTGAGTTATTAGCATTAAACTTGCACGAATGTGAAGACGATGTAAAGACTATAGTTGACAAAGCTGTAAAAGAAATGTCTATGGAAAAAATGTTACGTGAGCTTCAAACTACTTGGGCCGCAATGGAATTTTATCAAGAAACTCACAGCCGTACAGGATGCAGTTTGTTAAGAGCAAGTGAAAAGTTAATTGAAACGCTAGAAGAAAACCAAGTGAGCTCCTTTTATTTTAAATTATATTAAATAATTAATTTTACGAGTAAGCAAATTATTTCTGTTTCAAACAAAATTATAAACTGAGAATGTGATTTTCATCTTGTATATATCTTAGATATAAATTTCCTTTTTTCAAATAACAACCACATTTTCTTTCTCTACATTTTTAGCAGTTGATTTTTTAGTTGAAGTACGAATTAAAATTTGAACAAGTAGTTTAGAGTTATGAAACTTTATGTAGGTATCTGCTAACAGCTCAGAAGATTTGGGGTTATGATGTTTTTAAAATTATAGTGATTAATATTATTATGATAATTTGTGAAAATTACTTGAATACTACTTGAATACTTTTAAGACTAATATTATATTTATCGTATAATATTTTAAATGATTAAATTACTTTTTCATGGTAAATAAAGGTAAATAGGTACATAATTTATTTGAACTATTATAGAGGCTTAGTAATATTAGTAGTGTTTTTATGAAGAATGATACGACACCTTCCAAACACGTTACATTTTTTTTTGTATTCATTAAAATTAAAATTTTGAACAGACACGTATTAAAAAATTATTATATAATCATATAGAACGCAGTTTATATAATCTCCATTTTTTTTTTTAACTATTGAATAACAGTAACATTTGTTTTCAATTTGATATTCCACTATAAATATAAAACAAGTTTTACATGAATTTATGTTTGAGATTTCTTCCATGTTATGAGATAATAGGTCATGGTATACTGTGTATACTATTTAAGCGTTTTACTGTTATACTGTAATGACTAACGATAAGGCCATCGAACTGGGATCTTTRGAATTTGATCACGTTTGTCATTTGTCCTTTTCATTGTATTAAACATGCAATCAAAACTTATAACAACATAATAATAATTGTGCGTTTGTAGTGTTTGTACCCTTAAGATACATTACAATAGGCAACGAATTATAGTAGTTAGTGGAAACAAGTAAAGAAGTCTTATTACTTTGTTTTCATTAGTCATTCTTGCATATAAAATATTTTAATTTTATGGAAGATGATTTATATACTGATATTTTGTGCCATATGTCCAATTATTTATTTTCTCTCGGCTACTATTTGTCTATGTATGCAAGAAAATGTACTGGTTTTTAAACAAATTTGAATTATGAAATGTACAGTGTACACTAACTTATAACGGCAAGTAGGTTTTAATAATTMATAATTATACAAATTGTATAGGTACAATATGTTAAAACACTTATAAACTAATATTAAAATAAATAATATTTTAATATATTATAATTGTGTACCTAGTACATATTAGTAAAGATTGTTTATAAAACAATTTTTGTAGATATGAATCGTACAAGTATCTATAAATGTATAATACGCTATAACCATATACACTTAAAACTTCAAATTATTTTATTAATTTATTTAGGTACCTATATTATGACTCATTAGTTATTAGTAATTATTCCTTAGTAATCCGTAGGTACACAATAACAAAAATCTCAAATAAATTATCCATAAGTCATAACATCTATACAATATACATACACTGCATTAAAATAAAATATACAGTCATAGGTATAGCTCAATGAATAAAGTTAATTTAAATTTATCAAAATATAAGATACTATTGGATACACAAAGTATTAGAAATTAGTATACTAATAAGTAATAAGTATAATATCACGTCTATATTATATGATTAATATTTATCTAGAATTCATATTGTAAATAAATTTGAAATTAAATAGTTATTTCTATAGATATTTTAATTTAATTTCATAAATTAACAACTATTATTTAATTTTTTATTGATTMATTTTTTGTTTATAATATTACGTTAAAGGTACAATTACAGAATTTAATGACTTCCAAGTTCGTGGCATTTTTCTTGGAAGAAGTTTCTAGTTGGCAGCAAAAGTTAAGTATAGCTGATCAAGTTATAAATTCGTGGTTCGAAGTGCAACGCACGTGGATGCATTTAGAATCAATATTCATGAGTTCAGATGATATTCGCAAACAATTACCAGAAGATTCAGAAAGATTTTTCCGTATCGACTCTGAATTTAAAGTAAGTTAATTATGAGATTTTAAGGTATGATTGAATTTTTAATTGAAATAGTTTAAATTTGAATATTTTAGGAATTAATGGCTAACATGTCTAAGACACCCATAGTGATCGAAGCTACAAATAAACCCGGTTTAATCAAACATTTGGACGATCTGCACGGTCATTTGACCTTATGTGAAAAAGCTCTGGCGGAATATTTAGAAACAAAACGCTTAGCTTTTCCGAGATTCTATTTTGTGTCCGCTGCCGATCTCTTAGACATATTGTCTAATGGAAATAATCCAGATTTAGTTGTTAGGTAAATCGAACAAAATACGTTTTACATATAATGTTAGATTTATAAATCATATCCGACATTAGTATACGTAGGCTTTGGAAATCGTATGAAATAATGATTATAAATAACCATGGTTWATACTTAATTGCTATGACAAAACAATTCTTAGTTTTTAGATGTTTTATCTAATCAAGTATTATATAATCATGTATCTGATTTTATTATTAAAAACATCATTTATTATATAAATAATATTATATATTCCCATTTTGGTAAATTTAATTTAAATCAACATTTTTACGTGTTTTACATGTCACCTATTTTATGATATACAATTTTCGAGTTCAACAAAAGCTTCAATAATTTATTTCAGAATATTTACAACTAAAATAAGTTATTACATAATAGTAATAATTACTTCTTCAATCTGCTTAAAATATGAGAAACGTGTTMTTTATGCTTTTAGTGTTAACAGCGTTTACCAAAATCTAACTTTCTAAATTATTTTATTTACATTTAATTTGTAAATAATATTATGTCTTAATATGCCTGGTGTATACATATATATATAGGTATATATCTATAAGCCATTGAGCATTAAATAATTTTTTTTATTTATTTATGCAATAATTCTTTAATTCCTATGGACTTAAATTTCAATACTAATATACATATTTAATTACATACAATAACATATCATATAATTAATAGATTGACATTATTCATAAATTCACAAATAATCAACATTGTATACATATTAGTCCATTTTACACAAAAATTTAAACTATTGCAAATATAAAGTGAGCTTATTCCATAAATTAAATTTAAACGTTGGTTTGAAGGTTAGTGSCAGTGATAAAATAGGTGATGTTTGGCTATGGATTGGGGGTGATAATTGAGAATTTCTGCAAATGACTCGGGTATATTGGTGCTGGTGATGTGGAATATTCTGTAGGTACTTGGTAAAAATGTGTTTAGTTTTGTTGATGACTAGAATTTTTTTATAACAACGTTGTGTGAAAGAAACACATTATGGAGGTTTATACCTAGTGGGTTTTTAAAAAAAGCCTGGTTAGATATTATAGACTTTAAAAGAACTCGGGAACGCTACTCAATTGTTGGTAACTTTAGTTCTCCCACAATATTTTTCCCTCATTAACCACTGCGTATTACTACTACTATATTAATTTATTATGTTCTAAAAATGCAATCTGAAAAGTGAAAACTATGTAGGTAAATAGAAATTGTTGGTAACTTTAGTTATTTTTGGTTTTTATTTACAATTAACAATTTGCAATATTGCAATTTACATTAAAATCTATGAATAATCAACCAACTTATCCAATGTACCTATATCGTAAGACCACCAAATCCTACGCAATAATAATAAAATCGAATTTCAAAGTATATTTAAAATTCAAAAGCTTCTTATAAATTAGTACAAAAAATATTTTTACTTTCTTGCTTTCTTAATATATTAATTATATAATTTAATGTTTCAGACATATGATAAAATTATTTGACTCATTAGCATCACTTGAATTTATCGACTTGAAAACAACTGAAAAGAAAGTAGCAGCAGGAATGCACGCCAAGGATGGCGAATACGTAAAATTTAACAAGGACTGCGACTGTAGTGGACCAGTGAGTAGTGTCGTAATTATACATTACATAATATAGAAATTTTTTTTTCAATAGAACTTTGGTGATTTTTTTTAAAATAATAAGACTTATTCGTTCCTACAAAATTTTAAACTATTGAATACAGAAGTTAACGGTAGATACTAGATTATATAGATTATATAGATTATAGAATGTATAATCGTATGGTAAACTAGATTTTAGAGTTAAAAATATTACTTAAATTTTAGGTTATTGATTGTTGGTGTCAGTCATCAGAACAGTAAATACTGAATACCCATCGAATAATATTGCCTTATACTGAAATTCATACCAGTATTATATGAATACTTTTAAAATTAATTTTAAACATGTATTTTTGAAGACAGTTCTCATTTTCATAAAAATACCCTAGTATAAGTAATAGTACTTACACATTTTTAGGTTATGAGCGGAGTGATAATATATGAATTGATTTTACAATGTGACCAATATGTGTACTTATACATCAGACACAAAACCTTACAAGTCAAAACCAACAAACAAAATCGTTAATATAATATATAATAATAAAGACGTATGTGAGTAGATTTTTGATGAGACACATCGATATTAATTATAAGTCTAAAAAACATACAWTATTTTTAGGGCTAAGATTTATGCAAGGTAAATCATCTAAGTTAAATGGTGATTTGATTTTACCATAATAACTATCTAAATAATGAGCAGAGGTAGATTTTGGTAAATGTTGGTTATTTAAAGTAACAGGTGGTACGATTATAAGAGGTCTAAAAAAACACAATTTTATTGATAAATACGAGTATATAATATTTAAAAAAAATCTTAGGAATTTGCTTATTCGTGTAGAAGGTTTCGAGTGTATCTTGTCATTGGATAGGTAGTGAGTTAGAACTGTAATGGATAACTTCCGTATAACTATGTTAAATTTTGATTCAACCATCAAGCATTTTTGTATATGAAAAATTATTTTGAACTAAAGTGACGAGTGTTTTTGAGGATATAGTGTACTTACTTATGTTGTATCATATCTTTGTTATTAGTTTATAAGTAATTTTTTTTTCAAATGGGTTGAAGTAATTTTTAAAACATCATACATAACTTATAAGTTATATCAACGTACAGTAGAATGGTGTGAAATTAGGTTTGAAGTATAAATAGCTCAAAATTAAATTTTTTTAAGTTTGGTACTRAAATAACATCAAAAATACATTATTGTAAAAAACATTATGTTGGTAATCTCATTGAGATTCGGATATGATTTTTCTCAATTGAAATACCTGTTTCTTAAGCAAATAGATTTCATATTCTTATATCCATATCAAAGTTTCTAAAAAATCACGATGACGCGTTCGTTAAGAAAAKATAATACTTTTAATATAAAATRTTACAATTTCAATATCTTAAGTCTTGTGACTATTGTTATTTAATCATTATTTTTCTCTTGTGACATGTAGCATGGTTTTCAGAATATTTCTATACCAAGATTAAAATCATCAGATAATAATATATATATACATAGTATTATGTTAGATATGGGTGCGTATTGTTCGTTTAAATAAATCTAGCTAGCCTCAAAATTGTTGATTCCCTGTTGAAATTATTTGCCGTTAAACAACTAAATATATTATTTTAATGGATGATCAGATATATTATTTAACTTGTGTGAAATCCTGTCAGCTCACTACTTTACTAGGTCTACCTAAGAAGATGCAGCTAAATTAATTTAAACGAATGTAATAGCGATGAATTATTATTATATACATGGCCTATACAGGTACTTGATAGTAGCTACTTAAATTATATATCGCTGCGGTACGATCCATCCATAGGAACATTAAACTAATTTATTGGATTGAAAATACTAAATTTGTTGTAACAATAATACCGTTGTCAACAGTGACGAAACAAGAATTTTTTAATGTTAAGGGAGGGGCTAATAAAAGTAAATCACAATTTGATATCCGTTACTAGGTCGTAATTATTTTTAATTTTATCCCGTAACTGTATGACCTCTACAAATAATTGATAATCCTCAAAATGTTTCAATAAAACCGTTTTCATGGTTTGTAATTAGAATTTTATTAAATAAGATTTATACCATACCATGACACTGCCAATGAGTACGCCACTGGTTGTCAATTTATTTTCATTTCGTATTTATGATAAATCATGAGTACGTAATTTTTTAACAGTAATGGAGAAATGTGATTACTCGAACCTATCAATTTATGCGACCTATCAATATGGATCTAAATAAATTATGATAAAATGAAAAGCCCTTACTTTTCAATCTAATATATGTATATAAAACTTGTGTAAACATTTTAAGAAAAATGTGATTATATGGTATGATTATTATAGTTTATTAATTGTTATTTTGTTTATAAATTAATATAAAATAATTTAATATAATAATATAAATCGTACATACTATGTAATAAATAAATTATGCCTAATAAACATATAAGCATAGGTACCACTTTAAAAGTATTGCTTCAATATATATAACAATTAATAAAAATGTAAAAAAGAGAATCTGAGAATTATTAGAAGAGTATAAATCGTATTATGCGTCCACCGATTATATATATGTTACTGTGAATGTCCGCAATTGGTGAATGCTGACAGTCACCAGGCGAATGTTAACATACACCTAATAAATTGGTGAATGTTGAAAAATTAAAATAATATAGAGACTTACTAGTGGATGTTGATATTTACGTTAGGATTTTGGTAAATTTTGACATACACAGTAAGGTTTTGGTCAACGTTGACATAGGTATGTAATAGGTACGTACKCGCACATATAATATTAGGTATAGTATTATATTGGTACTATAGTTGAATATATCATATAATATTATAAAATAGAAACAACATAATATTATGTTTAATTAAATCAAATGATAATAATAATTATTATAAGGCATTCAAATTATGATTATTTTATATTATTACTTATAACAGCATGACAATGTGTACTACATAAAATGGCAACATTTCGACAGCTACACTTTTTTGTAGATATAATTGTTTATTCAGATAAAATAAGATTAGTCGGGTCAGGTAAAAAAACATTTGATCAAAATTATCAATTTGTACAATACCTTATACTGCAGCATAGGTACTAGATAGTATAAGATACTATTTTTTTAATTGTGACCCTTCCGTTATTCCTAAATAATATTAAATAATATCGGCATTACCAACATTCACCAATATCGTTGTATAAAAATGTCGACATTCACTAGTGTTAGATCGACAATTCACACGTTTACTAAAATCACAAATTTAATCAATAAGCAAACATTCACTAATGATATTGGCGTACGACGACATTAACCGGTGACTGTTAGCATTCACCAACTGCGGACATTCACAGTAACATATATATATATATAATTTTTAATTTATAGAACATCTATGTTTTGTTTAAAAATAAATAACTTTGTTTTTAATACCGGTTTTTAAATCATCTCATACTATGTATTTTTTTAGTTTTAGTTATAAATTAATATAATATATAAATATTTTATTATTTTTGATTCCGAGTGGACCGATGAATATATTGGTTTTACAGAAATAGTTTTTGTTGCCTGACTAATTAATGAAAAATTATTATTCTTATAGGTAGTCTGAAGACTTTTTAAATGCCACGTTTAACAGAATTCATAAAACTTTTAATTTATTAGCTAAAGATCGATTCATATTTAAGTAATGAGTCTGAAGCATAATAACAACCGATATCTAATAGGTATTTGTTGATTTATCATATCTGTGATAAAGTTCGTGTTCCTATTTAATGTTACGTAAATCGTTATCTTGATCTTGATCTTGTAATTATTATTATTTTTATTTTAAATATGATACCTACATTAGAAAAAAAATTGATCAATGTTTGATAAAATATATTGTTAAGTTCCCCTTATACAGTGAAATACATACCTAATTTATAAGACGCCAAAAATATCAATGTGATTTATGGTATTAAATATTCGATCTACATTTTGCTAAAAAAAATATTTAGAATCAATTTTTGTAAAGATTTCTCCAAAATTCACCAGGATGTATTAAAAAAAATTATGAAATGTGGGCCAATGTTATTCCATTTGATAGTACATAACATTATAATTTTTGCATACATTGTATTATATTCATATTTTACTACATTACCGATTTCGGTGGTGTTCAAAACCATTCCAATTCGCTTACCGTATAARTATTCGAGACTCCAATCGATCACTCTCTATATAATAACATTAATAACTATAAACTACACCACGATACGTTCCACACAGACCTTAAAATTAAAGTTTAGTAATTCAGTCAACCAATTAGCCACCAAACACTACAAGTCATTTTACTGAATTTTCTATCTGCAAACCCAAATAAATTAGCTAGTGTAACAAATCCCATCAAATAACTATACATATACATCTTATAATTATAACGACTAAAAACAAAAGTACTCGTTGCAAAAACTTACCAGACTTAAAAAGTTAAATAATATTATCTATATGGCTATATATTAGTCAAAATAAAACGTTGTTTCGATAATTTGACAATATTATAATCTCTCCATCCTCATTATAGATTTATCATTGTTCACTGTAGGTGTATATTGTATATATATATATAAATTACATAACTGTAATATGTAGGTAAATAAATTTAAAATTATTAATTTAGAAATATTTAATATTTTTGACATTGGGTAAGTAATCGTCTGGGAATGAGTTACATATCATATCTCTGTGTGATAAATAATTGTAAAAAGTAGATAAATTTACTAGATAAAAACCAAAAGAAAATATTAAGTTCCTTTTACATCTATAGTAGGTGTATTCAATTTTCAGGATTTAAAATTTCTCGATCCTTAACTTTTTGTTTTGTATAATTACCTTTAAGTATCTTAAAACTATATTGTCAAAATGTATGTGGTTGGTTAAGTGTGATATTCAAAATTCAGTTTAGCTTTGCATGGATAGTCGAGATGTTAACCT